ATGCCCGGACGTTATAAATATGGAAACGTTCTTGGCTCATGGGTCCATGTGTTAAGGCAACATTGATGATAATGTGTTGTTTTCTGATTTGGGAACTGAATTTTTCGAACCAGTGTAAAATCTAGATCTAGATTTAAGATACAAAGCATTCTAAATGTGATAATTATTGACAATCTAGTTAGTTTTCGCTATGAATCTATGTCTTGATCTTTGTCAATCGTGACTTTAGACTTAGATCTAGAATCTAAGTGAATTCAGTCATAATTATAATGCAGTGTGAGTCGTGAGTGAGTAACTTCGCTCGTGAAAGTGACAGCACTACTAGAATTCTACGATCATGGAATAACTCGGCAAAGATAGCGTAGAAGATTGACACACTGAGAGCACAATGCATACTGAAACCCAGGCTAGAGACAGACTTATTTGTTTCTTGTGACATGTGATATTAGATCTAATGTGACTATTTGTGTAGTTTAGAACTCTAGATTTAGAGAGAGATCTTGACTGACTATTATGGGAAAGTGCTACTTCAACACTGAGTGGTTGTCCAACCCGAAATATTCAGAATGGTTGATGGAATACCCAAACGACAAAAGCAAGTTTAGATGTAAGTTTTGTTCCCAAGTGTATGTCATCGGTCATTCAGGTGTAATGGCTTTGAACGCTCACATGGTATCTCAAAAGCACACGAAAGCCCGAATCAGCCAGTGTGGTGCCAAATATATTCTTAGCTTTACTAAGAAAATAGCAAGTGTTGTGAGCGATACTGAAAGGCGTACCAATAGTAACAGTAATCAACCAGAGCAAAATGGAGCTGAGGCAGAACCTTCTGATTCATCACTTTGAGACCGTTTCATCTAAATCAGACAGACACATCTGTCTTGAGAGCTGAGACATTTTGGACAATGCACACAATTTCAACTCACTGTAGTGCGCGCAGTTCCGGTGACATAAGTCTTCTTTTTCGTGAAATGTTTTCAGACTCTAAAATTGCTGAGAGTTTTCAGTGTAGTTGCACAAAACTTGGCTACCTTGGAACATTTGGGATCGCACCGCTGATCACGTAGGCTACCTTAAGATGAGTACGAGATAGCCCCTTCTACGTGATTCTCTTTGATGAGAGCCATAACAGTGACATTGGCAAGAAACAACTTGACTTTCATGTTAGATATCTGGATGGAAATGGACTTGTGAAAACAAAATATGCAGATTCCGTGTTTCTCGGACATGCTAGAGCCTCGGATATCATATAAAACCTACGAAGCTTCATTGAGGAAATTGCCAACAATCGACTGGTGCAATTGTCCATGGACGGACCAAATGTGAATGAGAAAGTCCAAAGAGACTTTTCAAGTGAAATGGAGAAAGAAACGGGTCTATCCCTTATCAATATTGGATCATGTGGCCTGCACAGTCCATAACAGCTTCAATCATGGCTCAGAAAAATCAGGAAGGGGACTTGGAGACTTCCTCAAATCTCTTTATTTCCTGTTCCATGAATCGCCAGCAAGAAGAGAAGACCATTTTCACACATCAGAGGCTGCCAAACAACCCCTCAAGTTTCGTGGTCACCGATGACTCGAAAATGTACCTGCTGCTGAGAGAGCACTTTGAGATTTGGCCTGCAATGACAAAATATATTAAAGCGGTTAGGAAAGGAGATGTGAATGAACTGATGTGAAAAAGTTTCAAAATTGTCTTGGAGAAAGAAGCAGACCATCCATTGCTTTATTTTTCTTGCAAAAACCTTCAGGCCATTCCCTGTAAAATTTCAGACGGATGTTCAGAAGAACCCTTTCTGGTTCCAGATCTGTTTGAGGTCACCAAAAGGTTATACTTCTTAATGTTAACTCATGATTACATGTCTGACATTAAAGAAGCCACTGACATGTCCCTTCCAAAAGACATTCCAAGCACTGCTTTTAAAAGAGAGTGTGACATCAGCATTGGACACCTGGCAGAGCTTTTTTTGGAGAAGCTAAAAGCGAAAGTATCTTCCTTGAAGATCAAAGAACTAAGACAAGGGTTTGTGACATTTGTAAAGGACCTTTGAACAAAGCTGGTACAAAAGAGTCCTTTGAGGTATTCTATTGCTGAGAGTGTGTCAAGTTTCAACCCAAAGATTATTAAGCAGCAGCCCACAACAGCTCATCAGATGCTCTCCAAATTAGCTAGACATTTGTGCCAAAAGAAGTGGATAAGTGCAGAGGAGGTGGACCACTGCGAGTTCGAATTCCAAGGCTTTACAGAGACAATATCCTCCATACAGTACAATGATGAAAACCTGGACGAGTACTATAAAGACAATGTCCAACTGGAAAAGATACTCGCACTTCAAAAGTGATGCAGATTGTACTGCTCCTGAGTCATGGCAATGCCGATGTAGAAAGGGGCTTTTCTGTCAACAAGGAAGCTTCTGTGGAAAATCTCCTTGAAGAGAACTTAGTTTCAAGAAGGCTGATATGTCAGTTTGCAAGGGACAATGGACCATGCATCACAGATGAGCGAATCTCAAAAGAAATGATGCAGTCATCCAGCCAAACTTGGCACAAGTACTTTAAGTTTTCAAAAGAGAAAAGAAAGAAGAGACAAGATGAAGAGGAATCATTGAGCAGAAAAAGAAAAAAATGAGGAGCTGGTCAGCCTGAAAGCGAAGAAGAAAAAAGCTGAGCTCGACATTGATCTCTAGGTGAAGTCAGCTGATGAGATGATAGAGAGGGCAGCAAATTCATTTGCAAAGGAAGCCCATGAACTTATCATTAAAAGCTTTGCTTTAAAAAGTGATGCTGGTAAAAGAAAAGAAGAGGTGGGGGTCTCTGCGGTCTCTTTCTTCTCTCATTCTTGAGAGAGAAGGGGAATTGCAACAGTAATTGTGCAAGGAGAGATATGTAAACAGTGTATATTTATATATAAGTCGACAGAGCCTCCATGGGCTAAAAGTAAAAGTTCCAGTTCCTTCAGTCAAGAGAAAGAGGAGTAAAGTTGTCTGCTGAGAGCCTTTCTTGAGGGAGAATAAACCAGCTACTATTCTAAGGACGCTGTTAAAGGTGAGCCTTTTTTTAAATGTTAGAGCTTTAAATTCAATAGCACTGCATTATATTTCATTATTTTATTCAAGATTTTTAAAATCATGTATATAATATCCGTTAGTTTTAGTAGAGGTTTTACGGCGATTGCAACTGCATAAGGTCATATGAGCGCCAGAAGATAAGAAGTGTTACAAGAGAGTAACAAACGTAAAAAAGAAGAAGGGGAGGTGAGGACGATAGATTTTTCATAGGAAAGAAGAAGCAAACCAAACCAGAGCACCCGCTTACCACCAATGTAACATCCGTAATTTTTTCGGTGATGTTGATGATAGTGGTAGGATTTTTTCTGGTGTGGTAGGATTTTTAGGAGGAAGATTTCCCTGGCCACCCTGGACAGACATTAGTCTGTTGGTGACAAAAAAGATCTGTGGGAGCAAAAGTGTTTTATGATAACGCAGTCACTCTGTTGCATAAGATATATGTAGCAGTTCGCACAAAATACTGGCGAGTGTGGAAAATGATGAAAGTTAAAGCATGAGATTTCAGAACTTTCAGAAAGAGACTATTGCAGTGTTGCTCAACATAATGTTATAAGTCTATTGTCAAACAGAAATATGTAAAAGCATTTTATCAATCTAAGTGAGGGAATGATTTGACTTTTAATTGTACATTTTTCTGAAAGCCATTGAAACACAAAGGCTTATTTGATTTTTTAGTCCCATGATTACAGTAAACCTTTGGTATCACATAAGCTGATTCCTTAACATACATTGCAAAAGTACATGTCATGGAAGTGTTTGAATGAAATTACTCTTTGATGGAGAGTAAAAAGTACATACATCCTTGATAATTGCAAGGACATGCAATGACAATACAAAGAAACTCAAAGTAGTTTCAGTATTTAAGCTGTATAAAAGAGTACCCGATGTGTGTAACAAACAAATACAAAAGAGGCGATCTCTGGGAAGAACGCAGAAAATACTCGAGGAAGATGACCAGATTGAGGACATCATCTTACACAGGAAACACTTTGCAAGTCTTTAAAAAAAAAATCAACAAAAAATATTTACTTAAGAGTCCGTTTTTATACTTTGTCTCAAGGAGTTATCAAAATTATGATCATGAAAAGCATTCTTCTCTTATTTACATTTTTATAAAAATTGGATACTTATAATATATGTACTTCAAACCTAAATTTAAACCCCTTTGTAAAAATCAATGACACTTTCATAAAAGCATAACTTCAAAATAAATAACCAAATTGCTGCCAAACATAAAGAATGTGTAACTGTGCAGAGCACACTGACATGAGATTCCAAATTATAAAGTAAAACACGTAACCCATAAAGTTATTTACAATTCAGCGACTCATATATTCATTTAATAAATTAAAAATGAATAGAATTAAAATGTGGCTCATGTGTAAACTTCTATATTTGTCAAATCAACTTTTAACAAAGCCGACAATGACTAACAAGAGAAAAAAAAATCAATCAAAATAATTGCTTTAGCTTATGTGCTTACCATAAAATGGTAACATTCAATGTCGGCATTAACAATCAGTTTCTCAGACCTCATAACAATCTTCTAAAATTCATTACACTATGTCATGAGCCTTACAATCAGTCGACAAGAAATGTTTACTTAACAAAATCAACAGTACAAACATATATTTAAAATCTAATCAAATCCAAAACTTCTACAATTATTGTGTGTAGAAGACACAAACAGAAACTAATCCCGAATGAAAAACTTATAATAGAATCTATTATGCATCAGCATACAACTGCAGGAAACACATTTAATACTGACCACTTTGCTCCCAACGGGTGATCCCTAAAGTGCATGTGAAAAGAAATTTCAAGCAGGAACCAAAATGTATTACACCTCATCAAAGTCTGTCCGTCCTAGTTGTACAAAATGTTTATGTAACTATCAGTGAGTTAAACACATTCAGTCAAAAGCTCTGGGTTTTTTTTTTTACTTTACTCTTGTGTCCTGCAACAGAAAATTCACTTGGAATGGCAACTTATTGTTTTAAGAAACCAAGCCATTTGTTAATTCTTTGTGTCATAAGAACATAAAAAAAACTCACTGACTGACTTCCAATATTGTCAGGCAAGTTCTCAAAGTCTGTGTGCTCTCTGCGCTTTTATTTATTACATATGAACTGAGTTCTCACTGAGGCAAATACATATAATGACAACTCAAAAGAACTCCTGTTCCCCACTGACCACAGCATTTTAAAAGCACACCACAACAGCTTGCAAGTACACACAAGTGGCTTGAATGAAAGATGTAAAGAACACCCAATGAGAACCAGCATTGCCCCCCCAAAAAAAATTTAAAAAAATGAAAGTCAGTAGAAACCCAGGCCAACAGAACATCCCCACTGCCGGGACACACAATTCAAACGTGCTAGGGGGAATTTAAATACGGGGGGGGGGGGGGGGGGGGTTAGTAACTGATCCATTGTCACCCACAAATACCTATCAATGAAAGTGAAAAGGCAACTATCAACAGCAAATTCCCTCCAACACTGAAATACCAATGCTAGATGTGACAGCTACACACATAGCACCGTAAAGCCTTATTAAAGGATGATCATTGTCTACGAGGTGAAATGCTTCAGAAGACTACTCCAAGTCACAAGGAAAAACCGCATAAGGAATGAAACTGTCCGTAAATTGACTGACATGAAAACGATCATAGGGTCATAGAGCAAATATTTGAATGTCAAAAGAATTACATGATTGGATCACCTGATGAGAATGCCCCCCCCCCCCTCCCAATCAACCAGCTGCATGAGCATTCAGTGCAAGAGAACCAGGCTACAACGGTAGGGAGAGACCATGAAAAACTTGACAGGATGGCGTCAAAGAGGTTCTCCAACAGAAATACATATCTCTACAACACAAGCCATCTATCTAGTCCTGGACTGAAAATTGTATATTCCCTCACTCAACGTCTAACAATACGAGAGGAAAGAAAAAGTTAAAGTACGAGCGTAAGCTAAAAAATTTTTTAAAAAAGGATAAAATCAAAAGGAATGAATATATTTAAAAAAAAATTATTTTATTGTGTAGACTTGCTATTCTTGTCATCAATATGATTGTCCCAAAATATATGGTATGATGAACCAGTAATATATATATACACATGATAAAAGAGACAGCATACTGGACTAACAAATCACGAGTAATATACAAGCAGTAAAATTTTTAATACACTTTGTACATAAAAAAGGACAATTATATTTAGAGTAAGAGAGAATAAACCTGACACAACAACAATCATATAATTGCTTTTAAAATACAAGCAACATTAGACAGACAGAGAAAGGAGACTTGAGTCCGATCTTCAGCCATCAGCATTAACTTAATGATCTCAAAGCTAAGCCACAATGCATTTTTGTTACTGTCAGAGGAGATAACAGGTACGGGAAGAGCATGGGTCAAATGTGTGACAGCTTACGGGTTACCCGTTATAGCTTCTTTTCTGCAAGAGTTTCAAATCATATGGGAATGCATAAGAAAGATGGGTCGACAACGGGTTCAAACGCAAAAACAATAATATAACTGCACAAAGGCCCCCCTCAACACACACACACAAAGTTCTAATAACCTGAGGCTCAGAAATTCTCAAACATCTGGGGAGGAAAAGCAGAACCCATACTGTATGTGGCTGGCTACAATGAGGGGGAAAGTGCACGGAGAACACACAGCACACGGACGGTCCTGATCTTGGAGCTCAGTGGAAAGCAGATCCGATGGAGTTCATGAAGGAGCTGTCGTAGCCCTGCTGGGCGACCAGAGACGCCTGATGGTCCATCACGGAGGACTGGGGCAGGACCGGGCTGCCTGGGGCTTCACCTGGAGGAAGCAACAAAACACACCCGTTATATATATATTACAACAACAGTTTTCGTAATAGTCTTAGGGCACTTGCAACACAATTGTTTTGTTTTAGTTTTAGTAAAGGTTTTACGGCGCTCGCAACAGCATAAGGTCATATGAGCGCCAGAAAATTAGAGGTGTTACAAGAGAGTAACTAACATAAAAAAGAAGGCGAGATAAGGACGATAGATGCTTGATAGGAAAGAAGGAGCAAACCACACCAGAGCACCCGCCAACCACCCACTAACAACAACAGCAGCAGACCAAACTACATGACAGAAAAGACAGCATTAAAACTTACTGAACCCAAACTAAGCCACAATGTGTTATCGCCTGAGGGGATAACACATGTACGACGGGACGAACATGGGTAAAATAGCTTCCAGGTGTAACTTCTATTTCACAAAAGTTCCAAACCATGTGGGAATACATAAGACGGGATAACGTGTACGGGAACCCAAAGGCAGGGTAGGTCACCATTGCATTTACCATGTATGTATATATGTTTATATATATCTATTTAAAAAATTATAAAAATAAAAGTATCCAAGATTAGAGAGGTTACAGTAGAATAACAAATACCAAAAAAAAAAAAGAAGGGAGGGAGAGATACGGATGGCAAATGTTTGGTAGGAAAGAAGGATCAAACCGCACTAGAGCATCCACAAATACTACTTTACAGCAATTGGGAGTTGGCAAAAAATTAAAATATTGGGGCTGAAGAAATGGTAAGTAAGTGAGCAATAGCCAACACACAGCAGCCGCACAGTGTTACGTGTTCAAACAAATGATCTCAGCTGCTGCCCCTTATGTGTGTACAGAGCCTTTGACAAAGCACAACAAAGCCTTGAATGCCCCCCCCCCCCCCCCTCCTCAAAACAAGGAAAATGAAATTACATCCTAAAAACAAACCAAAAAAACCCCAACAGAAACAAGAAAGAACCAATAAAATATACTGGGACAAAGCAAAAGAAGTGATGCAGTTTCATGTGAAAATAACCCCCAATCTCAAGGTAAAAACTTTTCAATAATGTGGTACTGCACCCATACAACTGAGAGCTTCCCAGATTTATGTATCATGAGGAGTTGTTCCTGAACTGTACAACCATTTGAACTTAAGATTTTTAGTCATTTTCACTCTTAGTCTGACGGAAAGAAAGCTTGAGCACCTCTTTGATTAGAAAAAGATGAAAAACTAAGTACGTTCCTTACACACTCAAGCATCTGAAAGGCGGAAAGGCTGCTTACACTAAATTCAGAATAGTTTACTACAAAATAATAAAGAAACATGATGCAGAATTAAAAAATGGGTTCCCTTAAAAAAAATTCTCTTTGAAAAAATGATTGTGGCTGCACAAGAAGTTAGGATCACCATGCACATGTAACTACAAGAGGGAGGTTGCTTAGAATAAAGGCAAATTCTGCACATGGTCTGCATTGACCAGTGAAAAAAACCCAACAAATCATCAGTGGTGCAGTGAAATCAAATACAATCAGGAGTGACACTGACACACGCCAGCTATGAAAAATTCAACCACATCACTACAAATAAAATAAAAGTGAAGTTATATAATAAGACGAAAAAAATTAACAACTATAAAAGTATACAATGCAAACACCTCCCCAATAAAAACGTTAAAATAATCTTACAACCCCCCCCCCAACCACTAAAAACAAGAATACCATTTAACTTATTTCAAAGATGTCATGTGTCCTATCTCACACTCGACAAGTCAGAATATGGGGCGGGTGCATAGCGATGTGAGACTTTTGACGAAAAAAAAAAAAAAAGAATATTAAAAAAGATAGAGAAAGGGACACTTTGATGGGACAAAAATCTTTGCTTCAACAAAAGAAAGTCCAGCTGGATATACATTTCCCTTATCAAAATCGTCATCATTGTTTTCAGACATGCTGGTTTGCATAACACCGCAGAGAGGAACAATGGGTCGTCGTAAACATGAAGGCAGCCATTAAAAAATAATGTTAAAGCAGAAGCAGAGGGGAAAAAAAAAGAAAACAATCAAAATAAAATAGTAATAATTACGAATAAAGAAAAAAAAAAGATGTGGACACCACTCAACTAATCCTACAAGCTTTCAAGTAACTGCAACAATATCCATCAAAACTGATCTACAGAAACAAATCTTTCAACCGAGAAACTGTCGACGGAAGCCAACATGCCCAGCCCGTGAATGATTACCTGTGTAAGTGGTCAATGGTTCCACCCTCATGGCTAAAACCGCATTGTAAGACGAGATTATGTTGTTATTAGACGAGTTGCCGTACCGTTCTTCATGTGTTTGCTGGGAGGCGGCGACTGGAAACAACACAAATTCCCGTCACCAAAAAATTTCCCTTACAGTTTTGTCATCATTTTACAAATATATAATATCACAAATTGTGCTGTACTTATAACCCATCATTGTGCAGAGAAGATTTTCATAAACTTTCATAAAGCAATTCATTCTACTAATAAGAACCAATATTCGTCTTCATTCTTAGATGGCACACCCTTAACAGAGCTAGGTAGAAAAAAAGTTTTTATATCAGTCAGAAAACATTATTCCCTCCTCTGTCCCTGCATGCAGCAACGTCTTGCTTGATGATTGTTGTTTCACAGACCCACAGATATGATCAAGTACAAAAGATCTGCCTTTGCGGCAAAACGGGAACATGAAAGAGTGGGAAAATAATTGGTGAAAATCTCTGCTTCTGAGCCTTAAATATTCCCATGTAAAGATGCCTGAAACACCCTTGTCATAGACAATTACTGACGTTACTGATGCACTTACCAATTTACCACACATCTTTTCATTTACAGTTGTGAAATACATCAGCCAGAAACTCAGTTGCAAGCTTAATTTGATCTGCTCTTTTAAGGTTATTTAAAGGATAAAGCAAAACTACAAAAGAACAGTCACTGAATACTCACCGAAGCATCTACGCTTATTTGAATTCAGATCGTCGTCTTCCGAGTCAAATGACCGTTTTGTTCCGCCAAAACCACTGGCCTTATTATCACCATGCAGAAAAAACTCAGGGATTGAAGGTCTATCAGAGTCCTGCATCTCTGAGTCCCCGAGATCCATCGAGTCCTGAGGAGCAGCGCGGGAACCACTGTTGTTGATAACCTCTCCATTCATGGATATGTACGGGTGCAGTCTGTCTGAATCAGAGGGCGCGAACTGTACGCCTGTCTGATTTGTGCACACTGTGGGTGGATTCAGCTCCGACAAGGGAAGAGAGTGAGGCTCTCTAGTGATGGTAGTTCCTCCATACTCGGACTGTTCGTATGCCCTCCTCAGGTACTGGGCCAGAGCATGGTAGCCCGATTCCTCCGCCAACTCAACGGGAGTCATGCCACGATGGTTTTTCAAGCTGCAGATGGACAGGAAAGCACGTACTGTTGAATCTGACACAGCAGGAAAACTAAACTGATGAATTTAATTGATGTAATTTAATATCTAAAAAATAAAAACAGAGTAAATGGTAAAACTCATACTCAATCAAAATCAAGCAAAAAAATCACACAAGAAGCATAAAGTTAATGAGAACAATTACTCAGAAAAAGTCGTCCACAGCATTTCATTTATACTTTAGAACTCTACAAAAGCAGCAATAAAAAGTCATAAGCCATTGACACACAAAAGACTAAAATTGGCAGTATTGCAATATTCATCTTGAAGACAGTACAAGCTGAGGCGTGTGCTTAAGTGTGGACGATAAAATGAGAACACCAGTTTTGTTGGTGAGACATTGATCACATAGTTCTTTTAAAAGTCAAAACCTAATTATAAATCTCTGTGTATCAAACAAACAACAAATCAGTAGTTGCATATTATATTTTAAAACAAGCCACACTGTGTTGAAAATGATATAATACTCAAAGAATGCAAGACATATATATATGCAATTTTTTAATGCCCCTTTCAACACATTTAGTGCACCTTAGAGGCTGGTTCTCCGAATTTAACATCTCTCGGATAGGACTATGCAACATAGGTGGAAAGCCTTAAAAAAAACTTCCAAAACAACTTCATAAAGGATTTGAAACATAGTCAGGAGTGATAGCAACTGAGCTTAAGGCAAGCCCGCAACACTTTACACTAGAAACTTGTAAAATAAACTACAGACACCAAAGAAGAAGACCATACTTCAGTGAGCAGCCATGAGCGATTAACATGGCAGCTGAGTCAGCATTTCCAGCCTTGGAGGCTTTGTGAAGCGCAGTCTCTCCCATGAAGTCCTGTGGAGTACAGAGCATGAGAATACTAAATTATGACAAATGTTATAGGCAAACAGCCCCCCCCCCAAAAAAAACAACAAGAAACAAACTAATGGATCACCTACCAGTCACCCTTGGCAAACAGTATGGTAGTCATTGCTGACCTCTTTCCATGGGCTGACACTTTGACAAGTCAAGGAGAAAGTGAGAAACTGACCAGGGAGTAGCCCGAATTGCAAGAAGAAGACAATTTTTACTTCTCTTTCCCTGAGCTAAAAAGCTTTTCTTAAACCATAAAGTATCCTAGAGTACTGAGTACACAGCCACACTACAAAAGTACAATGAAAGTAGAACCAACCCCCTTCCCCTGGAAAAATACTTTCATTGCGGAAAAAAAAAAGAATGACTTGCAGAAAATGGATGCACTGGGCTGAAAGGTATGGGCTTAACCATGTAGAAACTAAGCACTGTGACAATATTCAGATAAGAACTACTTAGTGAAAGCTCATTAATTTTGTGAGTTTCATTTTTCAATTTTTGCCTGCTAAAAAGTGTCAACATTTCAGTCAGTTTTACGCTAATTAAATAAGTGAATTGTAATGGCACTTTCAAAACAGATCAATCATCTCTGAAGATACCAGCAGCTCGTCATAACTAGGACAGTCAATGTAAGAATTAGAATTACAAATCATTGTATTTGCATACCACTGATTCAGTGCGATCTAATTTCAGTGCGAGTGGAACAGCTGTTCCAGATCAACCCATACCACCCCAGACATTCTGAAAACAACGCAATAACCGGCAGCTCATTATATCCATATATTTTGCTCTCTCTGTCAAGAAGGGTGTTACCCCCCCCCCTCCCAAGCAAGCTAGCAAATTTCCTTATAAAACACTGCACTGGAAAAACTGTTGACTGTCAGTCGGGGAACAAGGGTCTGCATGTGGACCACACACTCATTTTAAATGCAGTGTGAAGCAATTAAACATCACTGAGTTTGGAGCAGCCAAATTAATCCAAAATATATTTTTGTTTTTCTCCTTTAACAATTTGAGGCAGAGCATAAGTATGGGCTTGGGATATAGATTGTACAAAATATCTTTCATAGCCATTGTAAAAAAAAATTAATTCGGAAGGCATTGGAGCACATTGCAGGTCTGCTCTTCAAACTTCCTTTGCTCTGGAAATTTGTTCCCCCCGATTCATTTGTAATTAAAAACCGTATAATATAATCACAATTTCAGCCTTGCCTGATACAGTCATGTACTGACAAGAGTTTTAAACCATTAAATTGCGTAGTCAAGCAAAACTGGACTAACAAGTTGAAAAGAGGTACCACAGCAATAAACTTTGATAAATTTGAACTCTCACCTGTCTGTTCTTGGAAGCACCGCATTGCAAGAGCCATTTCAGGCACAGCACAGCACCAGTCTGGGCTGCCAAATGCAGAGGACTTGTGTTGGATCTATGAGTCGCTGTGTCAAACCCAAGGTTTGGTTTGACATGTAACTTCATGAGGCACTTCAGCTGTAAATCATTTATGAAATTTGTTAGAAATGGCATTGGATGACACAAAGGATACTATTTATAAAAGGTAGCTTTTACTACAAAAATATCGCTGTTAAAACCAAGTGTCAATGATATTTCTTCAAATTGTCAGCCACAACAAGTAAAATGCAGACTTAATCACTATAACTATAACTATGTCTATTAGCGGTTGTAACAGTAAGAGGGACCACAACGTTCAATTGTCAAGAGATACAATGATAGTTTCAGATAGAAATCTGGTTCCTATTTTCAAGCCCCTTTTGTTCTTTCCTGCAAAATCAAAACTTTGGAAAGAAATTTAGAGTCCAAATGACAGATGCTAAGTATTTTAAAAAAAAAATAGTGGGGGTTTTACCGCGCTCGCAACTATAAGGTCATTTGAACGCCAAGGGGTGGGTGTCAACAGAGAAGTCTTTTCAGGGAATCAGACTTAGACTGCTCACCTCCCTAGCTTCAACAGCACAAAGTCTACTTCGACTATCGAGGCACCCTGGAAATAGCAGGTCACAAGAGAGTGACAAACATACAAAAGAAGTAGAGGAAAATGACAATAGTAAGGATCAGAAAAGAAAAAGCAGCAGTTCCCTGTTGTAGATCAGGCACAGTTATGAACGTGACATGACTCAGCCCATTTACAATTCTACTATGCTTGAATGAGAAATGTCCCCCCCTTTGGGAATAGCCTAAAGACACTTCAGTCAGTGGCACTGCCCCGAGGGGTATTAGTTTAGTTTAGTTTTAGTAGAGGTTTTACGGCGATCGCAACTGTGATAAGGTCATATGAGCGCCAGAAGATTAGAGGTGTTACAAGAGAGTAACAAACATAAAAAAGAAGAAGGGGAGATAAGGACGATAGATTTTTCATAGGAAAGAAGAAGCAAACCACACCAGAGCACCCATCAACCACCCACACCCGAGGGGTATGCTAAGTATTCATTCATATCGGGAGTTCAAAGTAGATGAGTTCATCAAGGCATCAAAATTATAGTTCCCTGTACAAATCTCTTTTTATAATATAATATACTTGACACAAAAGTAAAAGCAATATATTTAAAGTACACCAAGGACCCAAATCTAAAAAACCAGTTGATGAGAACAGTTCCCTATAGTGACTAATTTTCCTCCTTCGATACCTTTAAAAGTAAGTAAATTGTGAATTCATACTAACTAGAAAGAAACTATGTCAGATGTTCATAAGCGACCAAGGCAATTCCACCCTAGTCCTCCTGTCCAACAATCCCCTCTCTCTTTCTGATGACTTTAACGACTCGCTCTACAATTGATTAATTCATGTCATGTAGAGTTCATACATTGGGTAAACTCTGAAATACAGACACAGGTAAATTCTCTCCTCATTATGATCTTTTCTAAAGGTAAAACAAGTACTACTAACAAACTACTGTTTTTACCAAGGGTAACTTAGTCCAGTCCAATGCACTGCTACACTGTGGGCCTACTAGAGTACTCACTGACTGTGACGTACAGTGCAAACAAAAGACTCATTGGAGGGTGTCATCTAAACCCTTCTAATAAATTCACACAGGGGGCAGCCATGGTAACAGCAAATTATTAAAGAACTTGAGCAAGGAGCTACTTTTTCCACTCATCGTGATATAATTTTATTACTTAGTTCACCAGACTACTGTACAATGAAATGCTTTTATAATAATAAATTATACTAAAATGTCACTCAAGGAAATTCAAAACAAAAAAGAAAGGTTTCCCCGTATTGGTCAGATTTCCATTAAGATGACCGTATGTTTTTAAAGGGATTCGATGTTTAAAAACCGGTGTTCAAGTAAATATATCTCCGAAAATATTTGGATAAAACCCAGTTCTCGTCTTTAAATGACAATAATTGCATTGATTTTACCCTCTTCACCCTAGCCTAACCCTAACCCTTGATAACTCTCAAGAGTAAGAACAGTCAAACAAAATTGCAATTCCAGCAGACCTTGATAAACAATCCAGACACATTGCTAATTTAGATGTAGTTAAATTTCACAATATAATTTTAAAAGATGCAATGCACTTAAAAAAGGCAATTTTCAACGAAAGTGGATACATTTGGAGAAACTTTACAATACAACAGACTGCAAGGACTGCACAGGGATTAGAAGATTCCTCATCTTCCCATGCAAGGCACCCGACCCTCATTAGCCAGAGGAAACAGTTTAAAAAGCCTAGTTTTAAACTTGTGGAAGTTGCTTTGTTTGAAGCTGTTTAAAAAAAACCCACGCACACTTGAAGTTGAAGCCTTTGATGAACAAAGCGCACAAGATTAGACAGAATCTCACATTGAAAATGCTCCAGGAACCAAACGAAATTTAAATCAAAGGCGATTCCTACAAATGCCAGACAGTGGACTATGAGTCAGTGTATTAATTAACGTCAGACTGCACGATGATCTTTATAGTGCAGTTAAAAATTCATGGCGCAACTTATCCTCAAATTTCATTTTAACGGGTGAATCAATGTAACCTAAACTTGGCACAGCAGTTTGTATCAATTTGTCTTAACTCGTTCATATATTTCCAGAACAATTGAGGCTAGATTTATTCAAAAGTATCTTTATACATGACTACTACTACTATGGGGCCAACTAGATCTAGATCTATAAACTAGTCACAGCACAGCGCATATTTTAGTAACACTGCACTGCGTGTGTTGTGTGATCTCATTACTACGCAGAGCAGCGTGCGCCCGCCACTGACCTCGATTCTCCGACAATGCACAAAGGCCGAAGAAGGATTGCACCGTCTCAGTATTAGCCGTCTCTGACAGGAACTAACGATTTATTTTGGGGCCACCTATATTGTCACCCTTGGTGAGAATAACTCATGACCCTCTATTCTCACCCCCCCCCACACCCCTTCCGGACATCGATCGTGAACTAGATCTATAAAAAAAAACCCGGCCCTCCCGTACGCATAGCATTGAGGCTATGCGTACGGCCCTCCACTTCACATAATAAGCTACCCTTAGGCGCACATAAACTAGCCACAGGCAAATAATAATAGTCCGGCCTGCTTGAAGCGTTCCATCCCATGACATGAGTTGAAAGAACGCTCTTACAGAATTAAGTCGGGATCTTGGATATATATGGAAAATTATGATGCAGACTTTTGAAACCGTTAGATCTTTGCTAAATTAAATCTTTAATGAACAACAAATAGAATAATAATTGTAATGTAAAAACATTTTTCGCCTCTCCAGTAAAAAATATGTCTCACTACCGACGCTACTGCGCGGGATGTGAAACCTGACGCCGGCCGGACCATTAGTTGTTTACACTTACGATTGCAGGCCTCTCTACCTGCACACAATAAATTATGGTCAAGGAACGGAGAGCGCGTATGAACGTAACGAGACACGAGCATGAGACTATTAAAATTTATGCTCTTGCATGACCGTTGAAGGGTTATAAATTATTCAGACCAAATGGGCGAGGGTGTTAAATCATGTTAACTAGTTTAATAATTTTATTTTAAGCAATCCAAGCTCTTTTCTTCACTTCTCTTTTTTTGTTGTCGTTCTTGCCTGTTCTGTTCCCTTCTTCTTGAACATTTGGAGTTTGAAGCCAAAAAAGAGCCAGAGAGCCAAAAGAAATTCTCAGGGCCAGATGCAATCCAAAAAAGACAAATTTCTGGGATTTGGCTCCAATCTGACAACCCTGACTGTGACTACATCTATGTCTAGATTATCTAAAATCTATTCGGACACCAACACGATCCTGTGGAGCATCAGCCCTGGTAACCTCAGCCCTGATCCCTATTGGGTTATTTCCGTTAAAACAAGGGAGGGGGTGAGAATAGCGAGACACGTATTTATAGGTTATTCTCACCCACTTCCTTCCTTAAATTTTGGATGCCTTGGTAACCACTCTGACTGATTGAGGCTGAGGAGACTGAGACTCCCTACCTACACCCATTATATCATGGAAGAGGCTAGCCATACACATTTTTAGTCTTAACATGATGGCAAGACTGACCATAAAAAGGGCTTACTGAATTGTAAATAAATTTTTAGTTTGCAGTACCCAAAATATTTGGCACTGGAAAACGTCGCAAATGGTTAGTTTAGATGTTACGGCACTTTATTTCAGGGGGGAGACCCCCCCGGAACCCCCCCCCGACCTACTACACAGCTATAATGTACTCGCACGTCAGGGGGAGACCCCCTGAAACCCCCCTCATGATTATAAAAGCATGCATTATCAAAAAAAATCATGCAAGGCTATAACGGTGAACGCACACTGGGTGAGAATAGCCAAAAGGCTCCCCCGCGCTATTCTCATCCGGGGTGAGAATAGAGGTGGCCTCTTATTTAAGGCCGGCACTATCTCTCCGAACGTTCGGGAAAATAAAGCTGGGCACTATTTCTCCGAACGTTCGGGAAAATAAAGCTGGGCACTATTTCTCCGAACGTTCGGGAAAATAAAGCTGGGCACTATTTCTCCGAACGTTCGGGAAAATAAAGCTGGGCACTATTTCTCAGAACGTTCGGGAAAATAAAGCTGGGCACTATTTCTCCGAACACTCTGAAATCACATCCTTTCCCGCAAATTTAGGATATTAAATAGAGTATAGGCCTACCAAAGATTGTTCGTATACAATATGGTTCAATCGGTCCAAAAAATGTCCGTAGTAAATATTTATATAAAGAAATGCTACAGTTCCAAACAGTTTTTCGCTACAGATATGACGTGTTGCCTATGAAGGGTGCTGCTCTTAAACTTAATGTGTTGTGTTCACTCGTGTGCTGTCTAGATCTAGATCTACGGAGGGTTATTGATAACGACACATAGAACTAGATTCTGCGTTTGTCGCGGCCGCGACTAATCAATCGTGGCTCGATATTTTGGCATTTTTTGGTCGGGGAATAAAAGTCAAATCAAAAAAAAAAAAAAGAAAGAAACCGAACCTCTATTCTTTTGAAAAAAGTTCACTTAGCTTCACTTAGTCTCTTTCTCACTTGTTGTCACCACGTTGATTTGTTGAATACGTTAGAGTTACTTTTATTTTTTCCCTCTTTGACTTTGTGGTGTTTTATTTTGTTAGTGTGTAATTTTTTTTCTAAGATTGTAATTGTTCTGATGTGTTGTTTTTCTATCAATTTTGTTTTTGTTGGGGAAAGGGGGGGGAATGTTGCATAGTGTAACGTCATTTAATTTGATGCTCCTACCTTCATTAGATTCTAAATATATACATGATGTATATATAATAACCGATAACACGTACTGACACTGGCAGGCGCCTTACTTAATGTGTGTGATTCCATACTTTGTAATATCCTGTACTTAAAAAAAAAATGTACGCACTTTTAAGGTTAAAACAGGCAATTTTCTTCAGACAGGTTGACACACACCCTTATTTTTGTTAATTTTTGTGGTTGTTTATGGGCTGTTCGACTAATTTTTATTTAATTCTGCTGTGAAACCTTTCTTTTTCACGTTTTTACACTCATCTAAAAATCTGTAGACTAGCTCTTGAAAATTGAAATAGATATAGACCCAAAAATTTGCTCCTTAGTGATAGTGTGTGTGTCTATGCATGTGCGTGTGTGTCTGTGTGTGGTAGATCTAGTGGTAGTGTGTAAGTGGAGAGTGATGAGTGTGTGTTTTTCGGGCTGTATTTCAGCCTTTATTCAGTAACAGTTCAAAAAGTGTATACAAAAATAGAAACACAGGATCCATTCACTCCAGTGCTCATGAGTCGTTAATAAATTCCTCTCTTTCAGTTTCACTCATTCATTCAATTCCCGTGTTCTCTCCCGCGGCTCATCCCCGTCCTCATGACTTTCACACCCCATCCCCTCCCTCCAGGCACGCACACACAAAGAAAATCTCACTCATTCCCTTGCACCCTGCGAACCATGGACAATAATATAGGCAAAACACTGCCTTAACTGAATTCCTTTCGTTCGTGAGCTGTGGACCAGGCCAGGGGGGTCGGTGTCGTCGTCTTATAGTTGCTGTCGCATGTGGATACACTCGTAAATTCTACCTTTCACCCGCTCTGTCACTCACACTGTCTCTCCATCCACAACTCAGCTCGTCATACGTTCAAAAGTTGCCCACTGATCATGTTTAGTTAGTGTGTGTATAAGTTTGAGGGTACATGTGCATGATGGTGGTGGGTGTGTGCTGGGTGTTACTACTGAAGGTTGTATGTAGGTGGGCTTGCCATGCGGTGTTCCTTCCCAGACCAGAGGCAGAATGAAAGTTGGCGCTGAACTCTCGCAATAAATAGGCAAAAAATCATGAGACCGGAAGCCGGAAACTGTTCGGAGAAATAAAGATCGGCACTATTTCTCCGAACGTTCGGAGAAATAGTCACTTCGCTTATTTAAACCTGAATAAGGAAGAGGCTAGCCGTACTTAATGACGGCTAGACTGGCAGTCTAGCCGTACTTATGTACGGCTAGACTCGCAGTCTAGCCGTACTTATTCTTAATATGATGGCTAGACTGACCATTTACAAAAAATAGGCCTACTGAATTGTAAATATATACATTTTTAGTGTACAGTACCTAAAGTATTTGTATTTGAGACGAAACCAGGTGCCTTAATGACAGTGCATTATTTTAAACCTCCTGTTTTCTAATGTAAATAGGGCCTAAGATAAGTACGGCTAGACTGGCACTTCTTGTCTAGCCGTACTTAAGTACGGGTAGACAGCCAGGCTAGCCGTACTTAAGGACGGCTAGACTGTCAGGCTAGCCGTACTTAATATTGATGGCTGAATTGTAAATGAAATTTTTAGTTTGCAATGCCTAAAGTATTTGTATTTCAGACAACAAATCAAAGGTGCCTTACTGACTTGCATGTATTTGAACCAGAATAATTACTAGATCTAGATCTAATGAGACCTGTGTACTTAACAGGCTTGAGTCGATAGGGCCAAACCTAGATCTAAGTACGGCTAGACTGGCAGTCTAGCCGTACTTAAGTACGGCTAGACTCTCAGTCTAGCCTAGCCACTTCGCCTGAATAATTACTAGATCTAGATCTAATGAGACCTGTGTACTCAACAGGTTTGAGTCGATAGGGCCAAATCTAGATCTAAGTACTCTCTAGTCTAGGCTAGCCATACCTAGACTAGATATCTACCTCCTAAGTCCTAGCTAGAATCTAAGTTAAACTACTTCTTCTAAGTACGGCACGGCTAGCCACTTCGTTATAATATCATTATCTCCTTCAAAACAACGCACCTGCCCATAGAACGCCGCCCAGTGAGCTGGTGTCCAACCATTGATGCCATCTTCTTCTGAAACCCAAGAACTGACACAAGCTTCAGCTGCCTCGCCGTCATTGTTGTTGTACAAAAATGCTCTTCCGATCAAGGTTTCCAACAGTTGTTCATCTCCATTGTAACATGCGAAGTGTAGTGGAGTTTGAGAGAGCAGCTTCTGACTTATCACGTCCAACAGGCCCGGGGGTTTCTTCTCGAAATTCATATCCATTTAGAAAAAGACAAATTGAATCGAATAAACAATAACACTCAGAGAAATTGTCGGTTTCAGTTGCAGATACAATGTTGCTGTGACTCCAACAAGCATGTGCCGGCGGTCTTTGTACGATTTGATTCTTCAGCTGTTTTTGTTTGCAAGCGTGGGAAGAGCCAGGTTTCCTTCTTTCAGTAAATTAAACAGACTTACGTTCCAAAGCTACACCTTGAATATTTATTGCAATCTACAACTGTTTAATTTTAGTAACGTGAACATTGAGAACATCTGTAATGATCTTCGTAAAGCTCGTCAAAGCAAAGATCCTGTCCTGACCATTTGTTTGTACTACCATAAAGTTTATGAATTATACACTCTCTGATACCACCTGCCAAAAGAAATCAAGTCCAACTTGGCATAATGATCACTTTGGGATTTCCCTGAGGCGAAGGACATACTAAATTATATATGCTTGAAACATTAATTAACTTTCAAAAAAGGAGTTTATGCACATGTTAAGGTCATCCATCTCAAAGAATTTTTGCAGTTTAATATTTAATTCTGAATGATGCTAGATTCAATGTGTATGAAAAAGAAAAAGGAAAACAAATTTTTATTTATTATTACTTCCTGGTCCTTGTGTGCATTCATCATTTAGTATGCTTTTATTTCTTTACTTGCTCTCCAACGCCTAAGGAATATTATTTACTGCTTCCGGACAAGTATTATAGACATATGAGTAGATTGATAACATTAGTGTGTTGGGAAATAAAAAAATGATTCCAGATTTTGGAATCGGGCAGGCTTGTTGGTGGTGAGAGGAAAGGTGATACCCAATGAGTCTGATAGTTCCATATGTTAGTCAGAGGTCTAATCGAGTTCATACCATACATACTTTCTAGACCAGACTAATGATCGAACCTTAGAGACGAGAAGAAGGGAAGATGCTCCTCTTAATTAAATGAAAATGTTCCCAATCCAATTTAGCCCTTTAAAAAAGATGTATGCTGATCGGATCAAGTCGATACGAAAATGCTTTCTCAAAGGTGAAGATTTTTTCCTAGTGAGGGAGGCTTTATATAAAACAGTCTATGATTTGCGCAGGCCTCATATGTAAACCTCTGCCCCCCCTCCCCCCTATGTAAAGAAAACAACAGAAAAAACATTACTCCAGCAATTTATCAATTATTTTACGAAGAAAAGTAGTGTATTCAAAAATTGCTGGAGGCAATAGCGAATGTAGACAAGGTTTAAAGAGGGGTTAAGCCAAGGAGTTTAGAACTTACTGTAAACTCCTTGAGTTAAGCAAAGCTGTGATTGCCATAATCAGGCAGTGAAACAATTTTTTTTTACAAAAGTAAAAGACAGTCCAAGTCTCAATTTTAAGTAAATTTTAAAAAATAACTAACAGTAATAAAGTACGTAATTCTTTGGCCAAGAAAACAAAACAACAAACGATTATACCTGCCCCGTCATTGACAATGGTAAAATGTGTTTGCTGCCTGCCTCTATGCACTTCCGGGTACATAGGTACTGGTGTTACCTCCCCTTACCTTGCAATTTAGGTAGGTAATGTATAGGTCCTTGGTGTTTACATTTTCCTCTCAACTTGCTCTGCTGCTACAGATTAGTACAGATCGCAAGCGTACTTCTCCTGATGGCAGTTTGAAGAATTTCTTTCTCCATATTGATCTTGTTCTCCATTCGAGCAGTACAACCGAGTGCCTTCTTTCAACAGTCAGAAGAATATGGAAAAAAACAATGACATTGGAATGTGAATCTCGACTTAATCCCGATCTGCCAATCTGAATTTTCTGTTGCGATCTTCATTTTCATTCTCAGCCCAAGTCAAGCTCAACACGATGATGCTTCTGATTGCTGGATCGGTCGTTTTTGCTGTGGCTTCGGCTGCCTATCTCACTGGATGGTTTTGGACTTTGTTTTGGCTTGTTGCCCATATAGCCGTTGCATGCCTCGGCTTTTATTATGCCGTGCAGTGGAACCTTGTCTGTGGGAAGGATTACAAACCTCCTGTGAATGCAAAACAAAAAAGTGCCATAAAAATCATCATTCAGAAGATGCTGGTGAGTTTCAACATATTTTGGGTGTGTATTAATGTTTGTCTGAATCATCATTTTTTTAAAAACTGTAAATTCAGTAGCTGTGAGCTGTCTATGTCCACTTAAGTTTAAAAGGCAAATTCCTGCCTTAGTTTAAACTCAACAGGCCAGGGGCGGCTCATTGGGGATAAAAAGTGGGCGTGCACAAGCTATCGCATGTTGAAGATTAAATGGAATGGTGCATGAATTTAAGATCTTAGGGTTGGTGAGGACTTTTTCTAATGCTTTACTTTCATTCTTTTTATTTGCCACTTTGATTTCTTAGAGAACTAAATTTAATTTAAAATAAGTAGGCCTTCTTTAAAGAGCTAATTTTAAAGAAATCAATTTCGTTCATCTGGCATTGGAACTGAACACAAGTTCAAAATAACTTTCACCACTGCAATATAGACCTAATTAAATAGTTGCAAGACAATGAACCGATCCAATTCCACTCTGATGGATTGTGACATGATTGTCTAGGGCTCACATAATATTAAATTTAGTATAAGAGAAAAATGTAATATGTACTCTATTGCGTTTATTTTTAGTATTTTATGAAATTAATGTACTGCCAAACTCGCTTTGAGTGTCATTGCTTTTTAGTTATCCCAAAGAGCTTTTTTCAGGTCAGATTACCGCTGCTGAATATCCTGTTATGTTTAGATCTCGTGGACATTGGCATGGCATATATATGTTTTACTTCGCTATAGACACAGTAATGACCGTAAAAGCGCCAGCCCAGCATTTGTATTGCTATGATAAAATATTTGCTGGTGTTTGTTGCTGGCTTCTTTTATTTTATATTTGTGGGTGCTTTACGTAATAAAACATTATATTTTGGGCTGCACTACACGTCCATGCTCTATGGATGAACTGCACCTGACAGCCACAAACTTTGATGAATGAACAAAACAGCGATATTCCTCGGTGATGGAGCTGTGGGGCAATACATAAAGTTCCATGTCTGTCTAAACAAAACAGTTGGGAGCTGTTTAGAATTCATTAAATATTTATACTTCTATTTCAAATTATAGAATCTGAATCAGTCATCATTTATGAAAGACTAGTAACTTAAAAATTTTATGATGCTGCTCTATGAAAGATGTTCAAGGTTAATTTTGCTTTTTTGTAAAGTTCATGGAATATATTTTGATTCATGTTGGTGTAGGCCTACTGGAAAATGCCTTTTCACTGTGCATGTGGTGATTTTTTGTCAGGAATTGGAAGCAACTCACAGAGAACAGCCCAGGAAAGTTGTCATTTCTCGCAGTCTGGACAATGCGATACAGGAAGTCCTTGATCTTGTCTCGAGACATTCCATATTAACCTGGTATGAACCTCTAACACAGGATAAGACTTTCATCAAGTATGCACAGTAAGTCACATTGAAGTCTCTCTTTGGAAAGTAACTTTGTACTTTTTATTTTTCTTAATAAAATTATTAATGTAGTTCTAGCTGGAATAGCTTTTATTGTGTATTTTTAGTTTGAACTTTAAGTGCTCTCAAGTTGTGATCCTTGATTCATTCTGGTTGATTGGAGGCTGAACATTGATTTGGTATAATCATGTTGACATCTTTAAATGGTATACAATATAGGGCTTGGAGTTCCTGATTTTTCTGGTCCTTTCGGAGGTGGACAGTAAAACTCAAAGGTCCTGCCTTCTAATAGAGTGTTGATAGAGGTGTTGTTAAATGTTACCATTTCTGATCATTTCACCATTTTCACCTGATTTTTCATTGTCACAAATAATTTGATTCCAAGTCTTGTTTGTGTAATTGTAGGTTGACTGCATGACATGGCCAATTTTTGTTTTTGCTAATTTTGGCATTGTACTGGGCAACTCTAGTTCTAGATTATATTCTAGGACTAAAATTTCCCCTTGTCAGTTACTCTTGATTGCACATTATATTACTAAAGAATACACTTGGAAAACTTGTATTGTTGCATGGTGTAAGATTAACAACTGAATGATATCGTCTCACTAATATCGTCCAGGATGGAGATGTGGAATGTGGTTGACCTAGTCAGTCGGAGGTTGTCAGAAGTTGATCTGGTCAAGTTCCTCTCCCAGGATGTTCTGGACTGCCTTCACCAACACTTCAGAAGTATACGTATCGCCAAAAGGTAATGGGTTTCACTAGCAATTCTATTCATAAAAGGCAAAGTGACTGTTAGATAGAGGTTTTTTTATATTGTTTGGATTTTGAAGTTAAAGTAGTTTTTAAAAAAAGAATAAGACATGCTTTATTGTATCATGTCAATATTTCTAGTCTTTCCCATTCTCCTGGTTACACTTATAATGTGTTACAGGGATCCATTGATAGGCATGTCATTTATGATTTATGCTGTTTTCACGAAAGTAAACAGATTTTAATTGTAATAAATTTGTGATTGGAGATTATCGGGGTGTAAAGTGTTGCGTGCAAGTAATTCATCATAACCAGCATTGGAAATATCAATGTTCTTTAAGTGATTCACCCATGTGGCTTTCGGTGCCGATGAAATATATTCCGTCATTTCTTTCTCATGCATCGAAACTGTAAGTCTTAAGTTTTTAGGTAACTTAACTTGATATCCTTCTTAATTTTTGTTTCTTCTTCTTATTTTGAGTGGATGTTATCTTGACGTTACTTCAAAAGACAGGGCCACATCAAGCGTGAATAATGTTTTTTTAGAGGCAGTGAATGTAAGAGGGAATATAAGCTTTTGATGAACTTTTGCTTTCCTTTTTTTCAGAGAGATTCTTTTCTTTTAAAGAGAACGTTTGAAGAAAAAAATATGTGCAGTCTTTCCCATAATCCTGGTTACACTTATATATGTGTTACAGGGATCCATTAATATGCATGTCATTTATAAATGATTTATGCTGTTTTCATGGAAGTTTCTTATCATGTCTTATGTAAAATATTGATATTTTATGTGATGTGGGTCATTTGCCGTAAACACTGAATAAAACACACCCATACCTACCTACTTACCTACCTACCCACCTATTCACCTACCTACCTACCTACTTACCTACCTACCCACCTGCCCACCTTCCTACCTACCTACTTACCTACCTACCCACCTACCTACTTACCTACATACCCACCTATCCACCTACCCACCTACCTACCTACCTACATACCTATCTACCCCCCTACCCACCTCCCTACCTACCTACTTACTTACCTACCCAACTACCCACCTTCCTACCTACCTACTTACCTACCTACCCACCTTCCTACTTACCTACTTACCTACCTATCCACCTCCCTACCTACCTATTTACCTACATACCTACCTACCTATCCACTTACCTACCTACCCACCTACTTACCTACCTACCTACCTACCTACTTACCTACCCAACTACTCACCTTCCTACCTCCCTACTTACCCACCTACCCACCTATCCACCTGCCTACCTACCTACTTAATTACCTACCTACCTACCTACCTACCTACCCACCTACCCACTTCCCTACCTACTTACCTACCTACCCAACTACTCACCTTCTTACCTACCTACTTACCTACCTACCCACCTATCCACCTGCCTACCCACCTTCCTACCTACCTACTTACCTACCTACCCACCTACTCCCTCCCTACCTACCCACCTATCCACCTACCTACCTACTTACCTACCCACCCACCTACCCACCTCCCTACCTACCTACTTACCCACCTACCCACCTAACCACCTTCCTACCTACCTACCTACTTACCTATCTACCTACCCACCTACCCACCTTCCTACCTGCCTACTTACCTACCTACCCACCTTCCTACCTACCCACAGGGATCCCAATGCTGACAAGTCTGAGGAAGAAACCAACAAATTTATGCTGCACTTCTGGCTGAGGGATGAAGAGAGAGAGCTGGAGTGCTTGAGAAAAGTGACAGACGCCCTACTCATCACTCTCTTGTCACGGCCGTATGCCATGTGTGCTCCCATTCGGCATCTGCTGAGGGAGATTATCGCTGGCTCAGGTAGTACAGTTTTGTTTTCTTAATATCCTTTTCAAGGGTTCATAATTTTTAGTTGTACAGAAAAGCTTATAAAGTGAAAAGCCTATCTCTTTGACTGACTATGATATTGTTAGCGCTTGCTCATATCTTTTTGGAAATGTTGGGATTCAGTACAGTGACTTAATCAGTTTTTTTGTTGTTAAAAGGATATGTGATTCCTATTTGAATAAGATGAGTATAGATTTCGACAGACGACTGAAAGAAAGACTGTACAGCCAAGTGCCAAAACTTACCTGCAATATTTCTTCTGAATCATAATGTAATCTTTAAAAGAAATTTACTCTCTCGTAAGTGAAAATTTTAAATGATTTCAAAGTAAAATTACGTTCTTTTCCTTGAAGTTAATTCAAAATTGTCTCTGAGGGCCATTGTTGAAGAAAAAAGTGGCCGTTTGACAAGGTGAATGTCTTACACAATGTTATTAAAGTGTGAAAAAACCAACACACTCACAAAAGGATGGGGGTGTGGTTGGAAGTGGCCATTTGTACAGGTGATTTTCTTATGCAAGTGGTCGTCAGAGCAGGTTCGAATGTATTATAATTGTTTGTGCAGAGATGCAATACCAAAAATAATAGAAACAAATATTACCCCCCCTTAGTGCTGAGGCCAACCATCGACATGATCTGTGACCCCGACTACATCAATCTGAAAATCCTGGACTATATGGCCTACAGAGAAAAGCTGGACGCCGACACCAAAAGAACGTACATGTACTCAGCCACGTACGAGGGTTTTGTGAAGATGATCAAGGCGTCAGACTCGCCCAGCGATTTACGCCAGATGAGGTACAACATTATCTCGGAGATCCTCCAGGCTTCGGCCATAAACAACCTCAAGAAGCAGCAAGGTCTCAACACAGGTATTTATTTTGTTGAAAGCAGTTTTACCTTCAATCATCAACGTCATCATCATCATCCTGACACATTAATTCATAAACCTAACTAAGATCTGGCATCCATAAAATTAGAACAAGGGACCAAAAAAAAAGATTTATCCTCAACTTTTTGAAATATTGCCAATGTCATATCACAAGCGCATAAGTCGTTTTTGAAGTTTGAGAAAATTAAAGGGAAAGAGAACGCTCAAATAGGACCAATGACTTGGGCACCGGTTATTTTTCAGTCTAAAACTTAGAAGGAAAGTACTAAACAGAACTAAACTATTCTGTAAGTTGTATCGTTTTATGTCGTTATTCAAATGTCGACTTTATCTAGAAACCTGGAGATATTTATTTTGTAGACTGTGGAATTATGCTTACAATATAATGTGGTTCATATTTTTGATAATTCTGGTTAATGGTTAGCATGATATTTAATTCAGTTTTGATAAGATACTTTATTTCATTGTGGTTGAATTATAGTGAGGGCTCATCGCTAAATTTTTTGCACCTACTCAAGTCTTCCTAACATATATGTGTATGTCTACGACACCAACAGTTTTTGTGTGGTTGTTGGGAACAGTTGTATGGGCTGCTCCCATGTTTACTCATCATAAATTAATAATAATTAATAATTGCATTTATATAGCGCATATCCACGCTCAAGGGCATGCTCTATGCGCTTTACAACTATTATTACCCCAGCAGACCCTCTGAGAACACTCAGAAACATTCTCGGCTTCCA